CTTCTCCCACCCTTCCCTCCCTTCCTCCCTTCTTCCCCTCCTCCCTTTCCCTCCACCCTTCCTCCCCTCCTCCCCCTCCCCTCCTCCCTTCTCCCACCTCCCTTCCTCCCCTCCTCCCCTCCTCCCCTCCTCCCTTCTTCCCCTCCTCCCCACCTCCCTCCTCCCTTCCTCCCCTCCTCCCTTCTCCCACCCTTCCTTCCTCCCCCTCCCCCCTCCCTTCTTCCCCCACTCCTTCCCCCACCTTCCTCCTCTCCTCCTTCTCCCCCCACCTCTCCTCCCTTCTCCCCACCTCCCCTCCCCCTCCCTTCTTCCTACCTCCTACCTCCCCTCCTCCCTCCTTCCCACGCCCCTTGCGCAAAACCACTCGAAGGGGCAGCGAGAGAGGTCAGGTGCGGCCGGTCACATAGGCCCAAAAGAGGCCCGTCAACAGAGGCCGGTGTATATATAGCGTCCTCCGGGGCCTCCTCCTCCGTCGTCGTCGCCTCCTGCCCCGCCGCCGCCAGCATGAAAGTCCTCGTTGCTCTGTTCGCCTTCGTGGCCGTCGCCAGGTTGGTGGTGGACAAGGGCGGTTGAATTTCATACGTGTGTATACATAGACATATATACATATATGTATATATATGTACGTATATACACACACACACACACACACACACACACATACATATTGTGTGTGTGTACGTATATATTTTTTATCATTTTATTTATATGTGTATGTATACACACACACAGACATATATATATATATATATATATATATATATATATATATATATATATATATATATATATATATATATATGTTTGTGTGTGTGTATATGTATATATTATTATATATATATATATATATATATATATATATATATATATATATATATATATGTATATATATGTATATATATAAATATATATATATTTATATATTATATATATATATGTATGTATATATATATATATGTATATATATAAATATATATATATATATATATATATATATATATATTCATATATGTGTCAGTGTGTTTAATCCTCAAAGTACCTCATTTGTCTCTCTTTCATCCTATTCATTCAGTGCCTTTATACTCCTCATCCCTTTTCCCTCAAGATAGTACTTCATTCAACTCCCCGTTACACCCTATTCATTCAGTGCCTTTATACATCTCATCCCTTTTTCCACAAGATAGTATTTCATTCAAATCCCTCTTTCACCCTATCTACCCAGTGCTTTTATACACCTCATCCCTTTTCTTCAAGAAAGCACCTCATTCAAATCCCTCTTTCACTCTATTCATCCAGTGCCTTTATACACCTCATCCCTTTTTCCAGAAGATAGTACCTCATTCAACTCCCTCTTACACCCTATTCATCCAGTGCCTTTATACACCTCATCCCTTTTTCCAGAAGATAGTACCTCATTCAACTCCCTCTTACACCCTATTATACACCTTATCCCTTTTCCCTCAAGATAGTACATTCAGATCCCTCTTTCTCCCTATTCATTCAGTGCCTTTATACACCTTATCCCTTTTCCCTCAAGATAGTACTTCATTCAGATCCCTCTTTCACCTTATTCATTCAGTGCCCAGACTGAAGCCTGGTGTCGCTGCGCCGCCTTCATCACCCACGAGCACTCTGAAGTAGTCGTGTACCGAGCTCCAGAGATCCCCATCGAATCCTGCACAGATGACGTCAACAAGTGCAAGAACGCGTGTACCAATGAGGTTAGGCTTTATATTCGATGGGGGGGAGAGAGAGAGAATTTTGACATTAATTCTATAGGATGGCATCTGTTTAATGTGTAAGAATAAGGACTGTGATGATAGTTTTCTTTAGGTTGAGCTTTCAGGTTAATTTCGAAGACAGAATTTTTGATCCTCTGTCGTAACTCAGAGTCTTTGGATTTGAATGCCTTTGTCTCTCTTTTATCTAGCTTTACCTTATATCAAGAAAAAAAAACAATAATAACACCAAGAAATAAAATCTTACAAAAAAAACAATAATAACACCAAGAAATAAAATCTTACATTAAAAGAAAACAAAAATAACTTCCAGAAACAACTCTTACCACTAATTCCTTTACGCTCGTTTCCCTCTCGAAGCTCAACGCCCTCTCCAACAATGGCGACCTGTGGATGATGCAAGAAAGTGGAATTACCGTCGGCCAGAGCATCTGCACCTACCTCTCCGACCGCTTCGTCTTCTTCGTCCACAACAAGAGCGTATGTATTGAGATTGTCTACAACTTCTGTTAAATAGATCATAACAACAATTGTAGTAATGCAATAATGTAATAATGTGATAATGATATGAAATAGAATAATAATGATAATGGTATGAATAATAGTAATAATAATCATAATAAGAATGGTAATGATGGTGACACTGATAATAACGATTTTAACAATAACGATTCAAGGAATAATAATGATGATAATGATAATATATGGGAATGTGAATGAATATCTAAAGATAAAAAAAGACAAAACATTGCAAATATCTA